CAGCCTGTCCCAAATGGGGTGTGGGTTTCCAATATCCCACTTCTGACAAACAGATATAGTGGGAAATTACCATATGGAGTCAGGTAGAAATATAAGGGTATTTAATAGGGAAAAGCCTTACTTAACAGAGCGAGCCAGCCAGCCGGTGGTAGCCGTCTGTACAGCAAGAAGCAAAGAGAAACCAAAACCGAAACGCAGTCCCACTACGTCACTCTGACCACGCCCTCACAAGCCTGGTCAGGCACACCTGTAGCCAGCCCCTAAGAAGGCGTGGCTACAGCTTCCCCTACAGTTTAGTGGTCTGCTTTTCCTTTGGGTTACTAGTAAGCTGTAAATGACACCTTTTGGAGAACTTTTTTTTTTTCCCTAAAATTCCCTTAGAACAAAATCTGTTTAATTATGCATCCAACAGAAATTAGACAGTAAGAAATTAGATGGCTGTCAGAGTTCAAGCTGTATTGTGAACTAAGCAGCATCTGGGCCTATGAGAGTTGTGGCTGTGGAACCAGAACCTGGCCAATCAGGAGCTTCTTTCTGAAGCTGTAAAAGAAGAGAGCTCTGGCCACATATTGCTGATCCATGGAGATGTGTCCTGAGAAATGGATCGGTAGAAGGGCCAACACAAGTCTGAATGGTATAGAACTGCCCCTCATCATGGACTCTTTGTTTGTTTGTTTGTTTGTTTTAGGATGTAAGATTTACTAGTGAACATGATTAGTGAGAGTGAACACAGAGAAGCTCAGGTATACCACAATTAGGGATGCGTTTGATCCACAACCATTGGCCATGCCGTCAATGTCTTCTACTTTGGTTGTTGGTGAAGCTTTACTTCGTTTAGGAATGAATGGACTGTTGACCCTGCACAGAGCCTCCTTCACATGTTCCTGCAGCTTGGTGTGGCTAGACCTAATGACCTGGCCACTGGAGCCTGGGCCATTATTTCTCAGGCTTCCCAGAAGTGCCCCACATACTTGTTTGTAGTCTAGACTGGGGCAACCATGATGCCAGAGACATGAATATCTTCCAGGATACTGTCTCCAGAGTTCCTTTGGGACAACGCATTCAGCCAGACAGGCTGAGTATAGAGCTAGCTGTTTTTCCGTGGTCTCCTGATGGAGTTAAGGGATATAGATGAGGAACACTGGTAGATGCCATACTTTTATAAGACAGCATACTTTTTTTTACAAGTATGAATGCATTAAAAAGTAATGATTAATAAGAGTATAGTAAATATATTAACCAATGATATAATTGTTATCACTATGGAGTCTTTTATAATATACAAAATTGTGCTGTCTTTGTACTTGACAATATTACATTTACTACAAGTCTTTGAGGGAAGAGGCTTTTCTAATTGGATGACATACATAAAACATAACCTTTTCAAGACACACCCCAAATACTTAGCATCATTTCCATGCCACTATTGGAAATATTGTAGTACTCAGCCAGCAGTAGCAAAAATAACCAAGACCAGGCCATCAAAAAAGAAACAGCATTTAGTCACTGAGTCAGTCTTCCTTAAGAAGTTGAATGTGGGAGCTGAG